ACCACAAAGAAAGTCCAACAAAGATTACAGATAATATATAGCACTCAAAGTTTGCCCAGGAAATACTAGAAACACCTGCCCCCAAATACACACATGCTTTATTTTTCTCCAATAGGTGTTGCTACATAGAAAAATTACAAAATGGCTCCAGCCACAGTCTCCTCCAAAATACCTAAGAACTCTCTACCTTTTCAAAGCCTTACTAGACAATAAATATTCCCTTTCTGTTGTGTTAGAAAAATCATTTTCAAACTTTTCTTCACAGAAGCCCCTTTACATTCTTAAAAATTAAGACCTTACCATTATGTTTCTATGTGTATATCTATATTTACCATATTAGAAATTGAAGTGAGAATTTAAAAAATATTTAATTCATGTAAAGATTAGCAATCCATTACAGATGAATACAAATAACATATGAAAATAACCGTATTTTCAAAACCAAAAAATTAAGTGAGAAGAATGTTGTTTAAATCTTTGCAAATATCTTTAATGACTGGTTTTAGAAAAAGACAACTGGATTCTCATATATGCTTCTGCATTTGATATGTTAAAACATCACCTGTTATGTAACCCTCTGGAAAATATCATGCGTTTAGGAGAGAAAGAGGGTGAAAAAAGGCACATCACGCATTCGTATTTAAATGAAAATAGTACTGACCTCATGAATCCCCAAAAAGGGCCTGGGGGACCTCCAGAGGTCCCCATACCACACTTTAAATACTAGTGCTTTAGACTATCCCAAAATCATATTGAAATTGAAGTCACACAAAGGAGATAAATAACTATTAGCAAACTCCTACCAAGGAAATAACAATGGCGGCATCATGCTATGGTTTCTATAACTATTTCTCCTAAATAAATGTCCCACCAGTTATAGTTATATTTCCTTGTGAGTTCGAAGGAGAGACTGGGACTGAGTGTCAGTACCACGTGGCACATTGGAAGGGCTGCCGGGTCTTCTACAAGATCGTGGATGATGTTTAGAAAAGTAGATTCAGTGCCATAAGTTATTTCTCATTTAAATTATCTCTGTAATGAGGACAAATATAATGTGTTCCCTAATCCTGCACTGTAAGGCCAGCATGAACTCAGGACAGGCATGTTTCCTCCCAGGTAGGTCAGCAAAGGTCTCATCTCTTTAAAGTGTTGTTTTTAATGGTCTCTTTATATTGTTAAACATATGATTTCTCTAATTCAATACTGAACACTATTTTTACATTTTTCTTGTTGGATTCAGGTAGGGCTGACAAGGTTATGAACACAAAATAGTTCCTGAAATTACAGAAGACAATATTTTTTATGCAAAATTAGTGTGTGTGTATGTGTGTGTGTAAAAACTTTTTGGTTCATATACAGCTAATTTCTATTATTTTAGAGTTTACTATTTAAAATATACTTAATTTAACAATGTTTAAAGGTAATCTGAATTCACCTCTTGAATACTAGGAAAATCTTTTTAAAAGCACATTAAACCTGATCTCCCTGTTATTAGCTTACATGTAACTTTTGTACAGTATTATTTTAATCTGTTTTTGAATCTTATGAACAGATGCTATTATTGGCTTATACGGTCAATATTATACTAGATTTATCTACATATTTACTAATTTCTTTTCTATTTCTTTTGATACTTGCCCCATCCTTTTAGGATTCTCTTCTTGAATCCTAAAAGCAAGCCTCTGTTGCTGATAAATTCTTTGTTCTGCATTTCATGGAAGGTGTCTTTATTTCGCTCTCCTTCTTTAAAGACAAGTTCACTGGGTTTATAAGTCTATTTTGACAGCTGTTGTTCCCAGCACTCTGAAGCTTTTATTCTAATGTTTTCCAGCTTTCACCGACGCTGTGAGAGAGAACTGCCAGTCTAATGGATGTTGGTCACGTGGGTACATCGGCCTTTCTCAGTGGCTGCTTTTATAATTTTATTCTTGTCTCTGGAGTAGTATGATTGGGCCTCAATGTGTTTAGGTGTAGATTTCTTTTTATTTTTCCTGCTTGGAATTTGTTGGTATTCCTGAAACTAAGGATTTATGTCTTTCATTGATTCTGGAAAATTCTTACCCATTTCATTGTCAAATACCAGTGTCCTCCATTTTGTCTATACTCTCTCCTGGAATTTCAGTTGAACGTGTGCAAAATCTGCTCACCATATCCTCTACACCCCTTCATCTGGCTCCCATATTTTCCACCTCTTTGACTCTTCGGGCTGCAATTATTTTGATCTTCTAGTTTGCCAGGTCTTAACTGTTCATCCATATTGTACTCTTTAAAATTTACTATTTTTAATTGCTAGCTTCTATTTGATTCTCCTAAAAAAAAGCTGTTTAATCATTTTTTATAGTCTCTCACCCCTTAATAGCATTTAATTCCTTTTTATTTTAATACATGTAATACAAATACTTAGTTACGTTCTTACCTAATGATTCTAATACTATAATCCTACTTTGCTGCTTCTGTGGGTCCTAGATCATGGTGACTTCCGCATATATTTAGTGATTTTTTTTTTTCATACTGAGTTTGTGACCATTTTAACTTTATTCATAAAGTTATTTGTGATTTGTATTAAGAATGTGTACCTCTAACAAGGACTCTCATTTGCTGCCATAAATCATCTAAGAGTACTTTAAAGTAAATATTTAGCTGGGGTGTTTCTGAGCAAATAAGTCCCATGAATGTGTGGTGCCAATCCATCAGAGGGTTAGCTTGGAGTTAAAAATACTCCTCACCTTGCATGAGCCCTGGGCTTTGGTTCTTATCCCCCACAGAGACATTAAGGATCGCCCAGGTCAAAGGAGATCAACGTTCCCTTGAGTATCCAGATTCCAGCTCTCACTTAGTCCTTTGACCTTAGAGAATTTCTTTATTTTCAAGTCAGCCAATCATATATCTTAAATGATTATTGAGGATGCTACATGGAAATATATTAAGTGTTTTTAATGTGTGATGAAAGGACTGTCAACATATCTAGTCTAGCAATCATATAATCAGAAATGGAAGCTCTTGGTTTAAAGTATATATGGTAGAATGCTTATGTGGAAATTCTGCTTCTAGAGCATATCTTTATTTTAACTTATAATGATCTATGATTATTTATATAGTTTGTTAAAGTCAGAATAACAGTTCAAATTTAATACCTTTATAACTTACCAAGGACGTTTGTGCCATTTATTTTAAACTATATATGAAGGCTAGAACACTTATGTGATACTAAACCTAATTAAAATGTTGCTTTCTACTTTCATTAGAAAATCCTAAGGAGACAAAAATTATCAGAAATTTATCTAACAGTCACATGACTATGCATTAAAAATCTAACCTAAATGTTTTTGCAGCTTTTTAGAAGTTACTCTATGTAACCATATGTTAATTTTATTGTCTCTTGGATGCAAATACAATAGTAGAGATTAATCATACTGTTAACTTTATCTATGTTCATATGCAACTTATATGGAGAGTCATCTGCGTTGACGTTATTATAAGATGCTTATGATGATGTACCATCTAATTTGTTTCTCATGCTTATCCTTATATTTTCCTAATTCTTAACCTTATATTTTCCTATCCTTATAATTTCCTATTCTTCCTAGTGGTATTACAAAAATCACGAATAAAACGCTTAACTACGTTTTTGAAATGAATAAACTTTACAAAACTGAAATTACCATATTGGCCAGAATCATGATTTAGCATTAACCTCTAAATTATTCCAGAGATATCTAGAGTTCATCTCTGGCTGAAGCTGACACAGACAACAATGGTAAAATAGTGTCTCATATTCTGTAAAGTTTTTAAATGGAATTTGGCTCTAGCCAGAAGACAAAACAGACTTTAAAGAGAGGCTCGGGTGTTCGGTCTTTAACATTTCGCTATTACGTATGCAATATAAAATTGCAAATCTTAGAACCAATATGAGAAGAATAAAGAAACTAATAATTCAAATAGGAAGTATTTAAGCCAGTTTATTTTTAAAGTACCTTCCAAAAAGGAATGTTTAAATTATAAGGACTTCACTTTCATTCATTTGCTCACAGTCCTTTCCACTTATGAATTAACACTGTAAAAAATATAAATTGCTACATCTTTAAGTAATTAGTATTACAGGGATGTGCCATAAGTACTTTTAAATTATCAGAATACTTCATTTTCTTCCCATCTAAAATAAAAACAAAACTAAAACTAAAATGCAGACATACAATATCTAGTACTAACTTTTGGGACAGAGGAGCTTGACATTTTAAATAAGAGAAGAAATTACTGGGTCATTATTTTTTTTCTGTGGCTCTAGTTTAACATAGATATAAGTGGAAACAGAATTCTGGGGCCAGTAAGGTAAGCAACTCCTATTTTTGAAATTCATTGGCTGTGAAAGGCTTGCACAAGAGCCTTTAAATCCCCTCCAGTAGGATTTAAAATAGTCACTAATATAAAGTAGCTTGGGCAAAGTAATAATACTATCTTAGAGTTAAATGGGATTGGAAAATTCTTCCATATGGTAAAAAAGTTGGAAAGAGCTTCCAGGAGCAATCCCTTTCCCATGAGGTGGGATATCAGGTTCTCCTGTGTTATGAAAGGAATCTTGTAGATCTACCTAGCATCAAAAATCTTAATGAAATCAAATAATGTAACATATTTGAAATTTCTTTGAAAATTATGATTAGTTACTTGGTTCAGTGGGCAGGTAACAGTAAAAAGACTGAAGAGACAGTTGATAAATTACATTTGGGGAGTGATAAAGTAACTACTTTCTTCTCCTTCTCTCTTTCTTTTCTTTTTTTTTTTTTTTTTTTTTGAGATGAAGTCTTGCTCTGTCACCAGGCTGGAGTTCAGTGGTGCAATATCAGCTCACAGTAACCTCCACCTCCCGGGTTCAAGTGATTCTCTTGCCGCAGTGTCCCAAAGTTCTGGGATTATAGGTGTGAGCCACCACACTCCGCCTTTCTTTTATGAGACAGGGACTCACTCTGTTGCCTAGGCTGGAATGTCATGAAGTAATCATGGCTCACTGCAGCTTCAACCTTCCAGACTCAAATGATCCTCCTACCTCAGCCTCTCAAGTAGCTATGACCACAGATGCATGTCACCATGCCATGGTAATTTTTTTAAAAAATTTTTTTGTAGAGACAGGGTATCACCATGTTGCCCAGGCTGGTGTTGAACTTCTGGGCTCAAGTGATCCATCCACCTCAGCCTCCCAAAGTTCTGGGTTTACAGGAATGAGCCACTGCTGTATTACTTGGAGAATATCTGGATCCACAGCTTCCTTTTGAAAGTACAAAGTGTCTGGCTGGCAGACTTTTCTTCCATAGCCAGATTTTCAATGGAAATTTACTGGTAAGAGTATTTCTCACTATCATGCATGTTTTTCAACCTAAGAATAAAGCATAAGAATTCACACAAAGGCAAAACTACACTTAATAAATTGTATACACTTTAGACTGTATGAAAAACTAGTCACCATATGGTTTAAACCATATGAAAGAGATTTAATGAAAAGGAACACAAATTTTTTCAATTATAAATAAGACTGCTAGTGGGAGGTTTTTTTTTTTTAACCTCCAGTAAAATGATTTTTAAAGTGGATTTATGGGAAAAGTACCAAACAAATCATGTGTGTGATTTTTCCAAGCAATTCATATAACCCGGGATAAGATCACAGCCTATTATTGCCACATAAGCTGTGTAACAGCTGCCTAAGAGTCGTCTAAGGAGAACAGAGCTGGAGGCAGGTACCTGGATTTGAATCCCTACTTTCGTACTTATGAGATGTGAACTGGACCAGTTTCCTTACTTGATGCCCCAGTATGTAAAAATGAGATAATAGAGGTACTTAAACCATAGTGTTGTTTTGAGGATAAAATTAGCTAATTTTGTAAAGTGATTAGTGCAGTGCCTACAGGGCATATTATAAGCATTAGGAAACATTTTACTATTTCCATTATGGCCAATAGATGAGGAAACCAAATCAGATGTTAACAAACCTAAGTCTTGATCTCAGTATCTGATCCCACGTGCTCAGATAAGAAGCTTAAAAGCAATTCAGTTTTACCTGTAACACTAATCGCTTTGCTCATCCTGACCCCAGGAGTTAGGATCAAGAGGTCTCCTGGGTACAAGGTACTCTGAAAAGCATCAAGTATAACTTTTAATCCCTTCGGGAGAAAGGCACTGGATTTCAAGGTACTGTATGATATAAATTCTTATTCTAGTATTTCAAAATATCAAGGTCATATGTGTTCATCTTCATATTTGATGGTGTCACATTTAATGATGTCTCTGGCACTCCAAGAATATCCCTTAAAATTTATTGCTACTTTCAAACAAGAATATAAGGAAAGTTACTCAGCCACTGATAAGCTTCAATGAGTTCATCACATTTTTTGGTGTGACCATTATGAAGAGTTCTGAATTCTCTCTTGTTTTAATAATTCAATTTTATCAATTGGAATATCATTTGTTCCTGTATTTCAATAAAGAAAGGTATGACTATGAGAGCCAGTCACTTAAGGAACATGATAGCAGGAATCACTAACTGTACTCGGTTAGCGTGAACTGAGTGCTCAGCACTTGTTCTCACACACTGGGATGTCCTAGCACAGCACCTGCAACCGTGAATCGTGAACTGAGTGCTCAGCACTTGTTCTCACACACTGTGATGTCCTAGCACAGCACCTGCAACCGTAAATCGTGAACTGAGTGCTCAGCACTTGTTCTCACACACTGTGATGTCCTAGCACAGCACCTGCAACCGTGAATCGTGAACTGAGTGCTCAGCACTTGTTCTCACACACTGTGATGTCCTAGCACAGCACCTGCAACCGTGAATCGTGAACTGAGGGCTCAGCACTTGTTCTCACACACTGTGATGTCCTAGCACAGCACCTGCAACCGTGAATCGTGAACTGAGTGCTCAGCACTTGTTCTCACACACTGTGATGTCCTAGCACAGCACCTGCAACCCCTAAGGGCTTTCTTTTGGACCATCTAGAGCAGGCCCACAGTGCTGAAGAGTTCAGCCACCAGGGAGCAGCCCTTGGTTAATGACAGATGGGGTTTGGAGGATGAACACATCTGTGTCCTCAACCTCTGGGGCGGCAACTCTGAGATGTATTCTATACTGTTCACCAGAGGTCACCAGCAGAACGGAGTCCCAGTTTTTTGCCGGTAACCTGCTTGAAAACACATCCTTTGCGGGATTCCTCTCCTTCCACTGCCTCACCTTCTAATTCTGTACCAGGAGCCCATCTTTCTACTCCCACTCTCTACTTCTACTTCTGGAAACCATCTCTCAATCTCCTTATCTCAGAGTTCTGGAGAAACACACATAAGACACAAACATTTATAGAGAAGCTACTATACATGAGCATGCTAAGGGCTTTATATTCTTTTTTCCCAGCTCAGTTCACATGCCTTCTCTGTTTCCTTTACTGATTTCTCTTCTGCCTGATGTCTAAACCCTGGTGCACTACACCATTTGGGGGCAGCTGCTTTTCCATCTCCATTCTCTCTCTGCTTCGGTGGTCTCATCCATTCTCAGTGCTTATAAACCAATGACTCCAAAATGTATAGTTTTATCCCTGACTGGTCCTCTAACTCCAGATTCACATTTTCAGGTGCTACTTAATACCCTGAAGTAACAAGGCCAAAAATAAGTCTTGTTATCACTGCCAAAACCTGCTTCTCCTCCCTCTCCTATCTCAGGAAATGGTGCTGCCATCCATCACTTGCTCAAGCCAGAAACCCAGGATTTGTTCTTGATTCCTCCCATCCTTTTACTCCGCATATCCAATCCATGAGCAAGCCTGTTGACTTCACCTCCAAAGTATACTCTGAAACTACCCATCTGTCTCTAACTACAGAATGACCACCCTCATCTAATCCACTACTGTTTCTTATCTGGGCTATTGCAGTAGCCTCATAATAGGTCTTCTGTGTACATTCCATTCTCCACAGAATATCCCAAGTAATATGTAAAAAAATATTAAGCAACCATGGCGCTTCCTCCTCTCAACCTTCCAGTGGTTCCCAAACATACTTCAAATAAAATCCCAACTCCTCTCTTGGCTTTCAGGACTCTACATTTCCTGAGCCTGTCTGTCCAATATCCGTACGACTTTCTCCTTAGGTGATGATGCTCAAGTCCCACTGGCCTTTTTGCCTTCTACTCAAATATATCAAACTCGTTCTTAGCACAGAGTTGTTACCAGATGTGTTTCCTTTGCTTGAATGCTCTTCTCTGATTTCCTTCTTAAAGTCTCAGCTTACAAAATCCTCTTCAGAAAGGCGTTCATAAAATATCCATCCTAATACAGTACCCAGCACTATTTTGTCAGAGTTGTTCCTGCTGCTTTTTCACACACATTTACTCACGTTGCTTATTTCCTTTCAGTAGAAGTCAACAATAGGAATTTTGTTTTATAGGGTATCCCTACCATCTACAATATAAATTCACACATATTGGGCCTTTGATAAATCCTGTTGAGTAAAATGTGTGATGGGAATTATTATTATCCCCCTTTTAAAGGTGATGAAACTGAGCTTTAGGGTAGTTATAAAATTTACTCAGTCAAATAGAGGCAGACATTGATACCCAAATGAAACCGGTCTTGCCCCAGAGCTCATAAGTTTAACCACTACACCAAACTTCCTCCACATGTGAGTGGTAAAAACAAAATGAAACAAAAAAAAAAACCTTAGTCTGAGAACTTAGTACATACATTTTTACAGAGTATCTTTTTTAAAAAGATTCAGCATATTTGAATTTCTCAAAATGGATTGTTACAAAACATTCATATTCCTTAAGAAATAAATGTTAATTTTTATACTATGGAGATATACCAAGAAGAAAGGAAAGCAAAGCTATCTTACTTCTCATCCTCTGTACAAGCCTCATAAGAGATACCCAACAGTTTAAACAACAGAATACAATTTTCAAACCATTTCTCACAGGAAAATGAAAAGACTCCAGATTACAATAGAACATAATTCATTTCACATGGAAACCACCAGAAGTGTGGTTATGTTCAGTAAGGTTTCTTTTATGAGAATGAAAATGCATTTAACACATATGTATGCAATTTGAAATCTGAGTCACAATGGCCCACAGACCAAGGGATATGACCAGACATACATTTTTTTTTGTGAAAAGCTGAATAGCACCAAATAGAAATAATTACAAAAATGTACCACCAAATGTACATGAGGAAACTTGGCTAATATTACCCAGGAGACAATAGGCATTTAAACTAAAGTCTTTGAAAATCATTTTGATATGTTTTATAGCAAGACTCTAGCACACTAGATGATAAGTTCCAGCCAAGTTTTCTAAGAAACAGTACATTTAGCCACCTCAAATAAGAAATCCAAGGAAGAAAGAAATACCAAATCTTCTTCAAGAGAAGATAAGCATATTGTTAATCCCAGGGAAAATAAAACAGGAATATTAGCTCTCCTGCCAGATTCCAAAGCAGTGACTGAGAATGGCATAAAGACACGTTAGTCAATGAAGGTTTTATCTCTTTCTTCTTTCCTAATCCCTTCATCTCCAATGAATAGAGTTGCAAAACATAATAATCAAAAAGGATGTATAAGAACAAACTTAATGTGAACCGTGCTCCTGATGAGGAAACTGCCGCCCCGCTGACGCATGTCAAAGCAGGGACTTGATAATCTTTCCATCTTACCACACAGTCATGACATCGAGAAGATAGCACAAAATATGTATTTTTATGTATGTGCTAGAATGGTAGTGGAATGTAAAGATTGAGTTTAAGTCGCTTTAAAAAGTTTAAAAAGCTGAGAATTAAAAGGGAGGTGGGGAGGTGTTTGGGTTACAGATCTAACTTGTCAGTGGTCTGACAACGCAGTGGTTCCACCAAATATATCTGGTGGCCATGGTCAGAGACCAAAGTCAGATTAGTATAAGCTGATAAGTAATTTCTTATGATCTTACATTATTATTATCTGATATAAACATTATCTGTCTTTGTCTGGCAGAAGATCAAAGTCTGACATTATTACCCAAAGAGATGGCTATACAGAAAGTGCTACTGAGAAGCAGAGAAAACACCTTTTCTTTTTTAAGAATTGTTATTAGCTTTGTTTCATTACGTTTGGGAACCAATATAGCTGTCTAAATTGGCAACTAAATTCTACTTTAACTGAAAACTTAGGATTGATGAGCAGATGCGAGGGCTACAAATAGGCTGTTCCACATGCATTTCAATAAAAAAGCAAATAAAATGATTATAAAATTATGTTTAGAAACCATGTACTAAATGCTGACTATGTAAAAAGCACAGGAAGTTCCAGTGATAGAGTGACAGCTGCAAGACTAAAGGAAGAAGGAGAGTGTGAACGGGGGATGTAAGGAAAGCACAGGGAGAGAGACAGGTGTGTTCAGTGTCTTTGTACCACGTCACAAACCTAACCCAGATAATCCGAGTTAACTTCTTAATGATACTACTGGAGGCTCCACTATTGTTCTCAATTCTTTACCTCATCCCCATATCTCTGCCTTTTTTCCCCTGACACTGCAGTTCCTCCCACTAGGAGTAGACTATATTTCCCCACCCTAATCATGTGACTTTCTGAGGCCAAAGTGGACACTGTGCCAACAAAGGCTTAAACTGCACATGTACATTCAGACTTGCTGCCAATCCCATGAGAAAAATAATCCTTATATCTTACTGATCACCAAAAAATGAGAGTCTTCAGGCTGAACTGAGCCCAGCCACCCACAAATGAAGGAGAAGTAAGGGTTTATTTACACCACTGAACTTTTGTGGTTGTTTGTTATGGAGCATTATTGTGCCAGTGACTGATACCTCTTTACTGAGTCAGGAACTGAGCCCCAGATGGAAGCAGTGGCTTTTCCAACATAGCTTCCTCCTACATAGCTAGTCGGGGACAGTGCCCAGTTTAGAATTCTATTCTATTATGGACCTAAGTCTATATTATTTCTATCACACGGTTCCTAAGAGAAGGGAAGAATGAGAGAGGACCATGAGCTGCATGGTTAGAGCAGCTGAAAGGAGAAAGTCATGGAGGTAAGAAGGAAAAGCCTAACTTGGCTGAAACTGTCTGAGGTAGCGTAATGATTCATGAGGTTGGGAAGATAACTTTCATCTAAATTTAGGAGAGTCCTGAATGTCAGGCTTAGGAAATTCAACTTCATTCTA